CTCACCACCCTCCCACGCTATTCACAGTCAGTACACGGGACACTCACCACCCTCCCACGCTATTCACAGTCAGTACACGGGACACTCACCACCCTCCCACACTATTCTTATGGTGTTCACCTCCAAACAAACTTTGACCCTTGCTAATCAGAGTCACATTGCCCACCTCCCAGTTAATGTGTCCACCGCAGTAAATCCTTTCTTCCTTGACAACCCTCATTGTCTCAGCAATTGGCTTTCCAGGCAGGTAGCAACAGTAAACTCTCCTTATGTTTTGTTAACAAGCCTCTAAGACCCAAAGAATAGCCACGGGATGGGGTTCATATGGGAGATGGGAGACCTCCTCTGCCTGCATGGCTGAGGGCAGATGTAAGGAGAGACAGGTCTGGGGACAAGGGTGGACAGTCTGTCTTTCTGCCTATCTCTGCCCCTGGTGGTCCTCTCAAGTCTATGTGAAACTCAAGAGAAGGCTCATCAAAGCTCCACATAATCAAAATGTCCTGCTCCAAACCTCCCAGGGGTGTGCCAGGCTGGAGACAGGCTCACATCTCACAGTGGAGACAACATAGCCAGCTTTCCCTCGAGCGTCAATAGACACCTTTGTTAACTAGGCTGGAACTAGATGAACTAGACAGCTTGAATTTAGATAAATAATACCTATCTTTACATGCTTAGTTCCCTGAGGTACTTTCGTTGTGACAGACAGGAAGTAAATGCCCAGGACGCAACAGATAAAAATAAGGACTGGACAAATGTTCTGGCATTTATTGGTGCCACTTAGACACTCTTCCTCCCCACTACTGCAGCTCACTGGGTGAGTTATTTGTTAGTGAAATGCACTCACAGTACACTCTCCCCAGCGTCCTGTAATGATCAGTGAAATGCACTCAACGTGCATTCTCCCCAGTGCCCTGGGATGGTCTGAGCCAGAACCTACTCATGGTGGTTTCACACTGCCTGCCTATTGGGTTATTCCCACACCCCAGTGCTCAAGAAACTGCTGAACCCTGACTGCCAGGAGAGCTGGTACTGAGATTAGTAACACCATGATCAAACTCTTGACACAGTATGGCTCTCACTCACTGACTGCTTGGATGTCTTAAATATTTCATTATTATTATTATTATTATTGAGACAGGGACTGACTCTGTCACCCTGGGTAGAATGCCATGGTGTCATAGCTCACAGCAACCTCAAACTCTTGGGCTCAAGCGATTCTCTTGCCTCAGCCTCCCAAGTAGCTGGGACTAAAGGTGTCTGCCACAACACCCAGTTATTTTTTTTAGAGACAGGGTCTTGGTGTTGCTCAGGTTTGCCTTGAATCCTGAACTGAGGCTAGAATCTACCCACATCTGCCTCCCAAAGTGCTAGAATTATAGGTGTGTTCTGAACATTAGTTGGTATCTCAATCTTGTTCAAACTAAAGCCCTTGCATTTCCTATCAACCTCTTCTCTCCCAAAACCTATGTCCTAGAAAACTCTAACTCTGCTCTTTTCCTTAACCTTCCTAGCCCATGAGCAGCATTACCAGTCCCCAAAGGCTCAAGTCACAACCATAGAGCCATTTACAACTTTCTTTTTCTGAATCTGTTTCACAACTAGTCTTTCAACATAAGCCCTGCTGGCCCCAGCTCTAACACAACCTGGATCTGTCCGCTTACTCCCAGCTCACTGATTCTGAGTGCCAGCCTCCTCCTGGGACTACGACAAGAACCTACCAACGTCTGCCAGCTCCTGGTCCTATGCCAGCACCCAAAGGAGTTTCCTGACCCTTACCTAAAGAAACCACCCCATCCCCCAGTTACTCCATGAAATAAGCAGGTTGTCTTCACAGCACTTAACACTATCTGAAAGTACTTTGTTTATGTGTTGTCTCCCTCTTCCCTAGAACTTAATTCTATTCGATTAGGATAGTTCTTAAAATCTGGTTCTATAAAATCTCTTAAATCTCATTTTCTGCACTTGTTGGTGCTATAAAATCAGAGATATTCACCATTGTTTTAAACTGATCCTCAATAATATTTGTTGAATGAACAAATTTTAATATTATTATAATTTCTAGTGTTTTAATTGAGAACAAAGTACCTGATTAAATCTCTGGGCATTTTCCAAAATCTTCCTTTCCTCCTTCAGACAGTTAAAGATGATCATAGACATCAGGATTGGGTCTTCCTGAAAATTATCCTAGATTTGGATGGTTAGAATAAAAATTAATTAAAATTCAGAATGTTTAAACAATCGTGTATTATAAATTGAAGTGAATTTGTTTATATTCCCTGAGAAACCTCATGTATTAAATTCTACATAAGCTATTTTTTTAAATCAAAATATTCCTTTCACAAATTATCACAAAAATTGCTTTAGCCTTCCAGTTAAGTGCAGGTATCCAAAGTACTTTTTGATGAAAAAACAAAATATTTTCACTCATAGTTTATATACATTTTTAACTTTAATATTCTTCCCTATTTATATTAAAATCAATTATCTTGTTAGGATCTCAAGACAATATAAATGACATAAAACTATTTTATTCCTCAGTTAATGCATCTATTGGTCCATGCTTTGAATTACAACAAAGATATGCACTTCATATTTTCTGCTGCTATTAGAGATAGTTTTCAAAATACTGGTAATCATGGCTCTATAAATGGGGAGATTCAAGCAAAGTCTGTAAGAAAAGATATCTGTAAAATTAATCTGATTTCCTCACTCACAAGTATTATAAAATCATAGATATATTCATAAAAGGGGAAAAAAGCTTCCAGTTATCTAAAGTGAAAAAGTTTGGTGGTGTTGTATGAAATAAGAAAATGATAGCTTTCACCTTCTTTACACAGAAATAAATACGGTAGCCAGGCCAATGGCATGCTAACAGGATGTTTGAATAACTCCTAAAATTCTGCAGCATGTTTTCTCATGTCTGATCTTCCCTCCACTTTCTCTTTTCAAGGAGGGCAACTCGAGCAGAAGCCGGGCAAGGTGGAGTTTAGATCCTGAAATCACTGGACTTCAGTTCCTGAAATCACTGGACTTCCTCAGGGAAGTCAAACCTTTCCAGACTTATTCCTCGTCTATACATTAGAGACCTAACCCTAACTGATCTCTAAAGTTCTTTGGAGCTTTAATCTGTTACTATGGCCCACTGTTCTTAAAATGCAGCTCTTTTCTTTGGTTTAAATATCAGCAGTATTTAATAAAACAAAGCATCATATTTCTCTCAGAATTACTGACAGCTAATAACTGTCACACCTGAAAATTCCTTGTGTTTATAAAGCAAATTGATATTTTGTTTTACTTATGCTACCACATAAAGGAGTTTATTGACATTCTCTGTATCATCTCTAAATCTAATGAGTGTGTGCTCAATAGTATTTGCTGAATGAAAAAACTGTCCTAAGTAAACACGGGAATGTTTCAACTAAAACACAAAAATTGAGTCATACCTGAAGATTACGTTTGCTTTTCCTTATGTTATGCTGCAACAAAAAGTTATTCTCCAAAGAAAAGCGACTGTATTGATCATCCAGCTGTGACAGGAGGTCGTGAAAACGGATGATGGCAAATGAAACATCATTGGCAGCATGCTCCCTAGGAGATTGAACATTTATACATTTCATCCTAGATACTACTTGAAACAGAAACAAACATTGGTTTCCTTATGAAATTAGTAAAAATAATTTAGGTGTTTTCTTAGGGTTAATTTTCTTCTTTTGAAACAGAAAAGCTTTTAGCAACAGTTGATGCAGTATTCTTATGATGTGCAGTTAGCATGGAAAAGTCTAGAATTCTATGAGACTAAGCACCCAACTGTTCACAGTGACTATCTCTGAAGGGGAAAAAGTCGACAGGGCCTTTGCTTCCTATGACAAATACTTCCAGGACATTTACTTTTTTTTGAGGCAGAGTCTCATCATGTCAGCCTCAGTACAGTGCCGTGGCATCACAGCTCACAGCAACCTTAAACTCTTGGGCTTAAGTGATTCTCTTGTCTCAGACTCCCAAGAGTAGGGACTAAAGGTGCCTGCCACAAAGCCCAGCTATTTTTTTGTTGCAGTTGTCACGTTGTTTAGCAGGCCTGGGCCAGGTTTGAACCTTCCAGCCTCAGTGTATGTGGCAGGTGCCCTAACCACTGGGTACAAGTGCCAAGCCTTGACATTTAAAATGTTTGTAATCAGCAAATAAATTTTAAAGAAAAATACATAGCAGTTTTAAGAGATATCACCTTAATTTTACTGTATTTTTCATATTTCTAACCCATGTTTTTACCATAATTTGGGTTTATTTCTTTTAAATCATTTTACTTTTTTTTTGGAGACAGAATCTCACCCAGTTTTCCAGGCTATATTACTGTAGTATCAGCTTATATTGCTGTAGTATCAGCTTAGCCCACAGAAACCTCAAACTGCAGGGCTCAAGCAATCTTCTGCCTCAGCCTCCTGAGTAGCTGGGACTACAGGCTCCTGCCATGTGCCCAGCTAATTTTTCTATTTTTTGTAGAGGTGGAGTCTTGCTCTTGCTCAGGCTGGTCTTGAACTCCTGACATCAAGGGATACTCCCACCTCGGTCTCTCAAGAGTGCTAGGATTACAGACAGGCATGAGCCACCACACCCAGCCTAAATTACTTCTTTCAATAGCCTCAATTCTAAATTGGAAAACGAATAGTGTGAATATATTTAATTTGTCCGAAGCATTCCAGACTACACATGGGACATTAAATTTGACAAAAACTACATATATGTGCTTAATGACTACCATATATAGCTTTGTGAACATGGACCATTATTTATTTATTTTTTTAATGTTTACATTATTTTATTACTATTTTTTAAGTTTGATATACAAATATCCACTGTATACCATTAACAATCAGAGAATTAAAGTTAACATGACAACATAAAATATGAAATACATAGAAATAATTCTTCAGAAATATATAGTACTTCTACATGGAAAACTTCTAATTATTATTGAAAATATAAAAGAATACATGTCTGTTTATATTGCAAAATTGTTATTAATTTTTTTTTTTTTACTTGCTTAGGTATTCCTTCTGTTATAACTCTGTTATTGTCTTTCTAAGGATATCAGTTATACCACATAGCAAATTCAGTTTGCTCTGGGGCAGCAGTTCTCAACCTGTGGGTTGTAACCCCTTTGTAACAATGAAAATACATCCTGCATATCAGATATTTACATTATGATTCATAATAGTAGCAAAATTACAGTTATAAAGTAGCAATGAAAATACTTTTATGATTGGGGGTCACCACAACATGAGGAACCGTATTAAAGCATCCCGGCATTAGGCGGTATTAGGAAGGTTGAGAACCACTGCTCTGGGGGTTCAGAAGGATTGTAGCAAACAGCTGGCCATTTTTTAAAACAACAAACTTTTCTGCAACAGCTGAGTCCAAGGACCAATGATGAAATTCATCTACCAGTGAACAGGGCACCACATCACTTAACTAGCAAGTATTTTTAAAGCACAAACTTCTTTGTCTCATAAGTTTTCCTTACCAGTCTTGCTTTTCTAGCCACTGTGCTAGGTACTGTCTGATTTCCATGGGAAAACTGTCATCATAAAGCTGGTGAACCTGCTCCAGGAATTTGGAGTCAAGCTGCTGAAGTTCATACCACTGAGACATTCTATGGCAAAAAAGAATATGTATCACGAATGGAAGTCCACTGCTCCAAAAAAAGCCTTTCTACCATCTTGTTGCTTTTAACTATCTTAAGTATGGCGAATCCTCAAAGAATTCAAATTATACCTCCCATTTGATCCTGCAATCCCATTACTAGATCTACCCAAAAGAAAAAAAAATCCTTTTGTCATAAGGATTAGACTGTTAACTGCTGCTCAATTTACAATCACCAAAACATGGAAACAATCTAAATGTCCACCAACCCAGGGATGGATTAACAAGCTGTGGGATATATGTATACCATGGAACACTATTCAGCCATTAAAAAATGGAGACTTTACATCTTTTGTATTAACCTGGATGGAGGCAGAACATATTCTTCTTAGTAAAGCATCACAAGAATGGAGAAACAAGAATCCAATGTACTCAATTCTAATATGAAAGTAGTAACGATCTAATACAGGGAATGAGGGAGTGAGGAGAGAGGAGGAAGGATGAGGGAGAAGGATGGGGGGGGTCACAGTGTATGGCACACCTCTTGGAGGTTGGACACAATTATAAGAGGGACTTTACCTAAGAAATACAAAAAATATATATATCTTCCTTAACCCAACACATAATTTTTCCCTGAAATACATTATTTACATGGCGTTTATATTCTAAAGTCTAATTTTAATTGAATTTTGGAGTTGATGTTTTTTTCTTATGCAGAGAACACATCTTCAGGTCTCTGCCTGAAGGTATCAGGGCAGGCTTCTCTGACCCCCTTATTTAAATTACAACCATCCCCTACTCTGGAATTTCTCTTCTCTCATGTAGTTTTCTACACTTACCACCACCTGATCTACCACATTTTTTCTTTCTTATTTTGAATATTGCCTGTTTTCTTTTTTTTCTGTTTGAGAGTCTCAGTAGAGTACTGTAGTATAATAGCTCACAGTAACTTCTAACTCTTGGGCTCCAGCAATTCTCTTACCTCAGCCTCTCAAGCAGCTGGGACTACAGGTGCCTGCCATAACACCTTGCTATTTTTTAATTTTTTTAAGAGACAGGATCTTGCTCTTGCTCAGGCTGGTCTCAAACCTGTGAGCTCAAGCAATCCATCTGCCTCTGTCTCCCAGAAAGCTGGGATTACAGGCATGAGCCAGATTATTGCCTGTTTTCACAGGGCAATAATTGAAGGGAAGAATTTGGGGGATTCTGTTCACTGCTATGTCCCCAGAAGAATGTCAAGCACATAGCAGATACCCAATAAGTACACCTTTAAAATGAATTTGTGCTTTTATCAAATAAATGGAAAAACATTACCTTAATTAGATTTGTTTGAAGATAAATCACAAGAACTCTCCAAAAAGTGTTTTCCTACAAATGTACATTTGTAATTTAACTCTAAGAATTTTAAACTGGTATTTATTTATATTTATTTATTTTATGATTCTTACGGCAAAATTAATTATTGTTATACTCGTTTAAAAAAAGGTATATATTTTCTTTGCCTATTGCAAATAATAAAACTAGCACAAAGAAGTCTTATACCACCTCAGAAATGACTTTTAAAAATTGAAACAATATTGTTAAACGTAACTTGAAAGGATAAAGTCATATTTAACTCTTTGGATATTTGTTAAGTTTATGTTTAAAAAATGATCCTGAAGGTTAAAAATTATAACAAAAGTCTGATCAAAGGAAGCCCTAAAATCCATTAGGAAAATGAAGAGCCTCCCAGAGCTGTCACATAACTTAAGATTTATATCAGCACATTGCTGGCAACATTCAGAGTGGATCTAAGTGAATCTTGTCTTGCCATGTCTCTAAGGAAGGGGGTGGGATTTTCAAGCAAGGCCCTGGAAGAGCGTGTCTGCGTGCTTGTTGTCGGGCACATACATGTAGGCATGATGTCACTCGGGATACACTGAGACACAACAAGCCAAAGGAAGCTTACTCCATAAATGGCTTACTCCTCTGGAAGGCCAAAGGACACTTGGAAATGCTTGGACTATAAAGCTAGTTACCACTCCCTTGGCACTCCTGCTGTAGCAATTTTATTTTTCATCTCAAATTTATTTTACCTAGGCGAAAGGCTCCAAATGCGTGTGTGGCTCTCTCGCCCTCCCTGCTAGGATGGGCCTAGCAAATACACTGGACTGTCAGTCCCCTACTAGCCAAGCGAACTCAGGCAACTACTGGCAATAGGTGGTTGGTTAAGACTGAATGAACCAGCACATACACAGCATCTGGGTGTGGAACATGCAAATAAATAAATTCATGCTAACAAATTCCGAAGCAATCTTGTTTTCTTCTCAAGAAGATTGGGCCTCGTAACAGGGAGTTGCCTGACTATGCCCAATCACCTGGCTTAAAACCAAACTTAGGGTTGATTCTTTCCTCTCTAGTCCCCAAACTGGCTGCCTTCCTACCTCCAGTATTCTTATCTTCCCAACCCAGCCTCTATGGCACAAAGGTTGGACCACCTCACTCTTCTGTGCCAAATGCTAGTTTGTCCATTCTTGGGCTGATTTCTACCCCACTCCCAAATCTTCATCCATCAATAAAGCAACTCAGTCACAAAATTATTTACTGTTTCTTCCACCATGACCAACATTTCTGCTTTGCTCCAATTGCTACTCGCCCTTACAAATAGCCTTCCCAGAAATTTCTGCCTTGCTAAATCCTACAGCATTCAAAGCTAGATACAAATGCCCTTCTTCCATAAAAATGCCTGAGACTCACTCAGAGACTATTAAGTTTCCTTTGGCTTGGGTCTCACTGTCTCCTGCACCTCTATTAGAGGTCAGTTCCAGTCTCCTTGTAAAGCTGTATGAAGTAAGCTCCACAGGGCTGGAGAGGGGCGTTTTTCTTTTTGACACCTCTGGACGGTGTCATGGTGTATTAGGTGCTGGATAACACAGTTCAATTGGTGAAATCTTGTATATTTCAGAGAGAATAAGAAATATAAAGCAAACTGTATCACGATCCTAAGTGTGAGTCCAGCATCCTCATCAAGCAGTTTTTTTACACAGTGGATTGTGCTGCAGGCTGAAGCTGCATTTCTGTCCCTTTAAAAAACTTCCCTTCTCTAATCAAGTAACATTCAAAACACAATTAACCATACATCTACATACCTACCTTAGAACTCTTCAGGAATGGTCAGAATTTTTTTTTTTTTTTGACAAGTAATTACATATTTTGGGATTTTTTCTTTCTTCAGGAACTAAACATCACTTTTAAATTCCACAAAGACATTAATCTCCAACCTTAAACATACATCGTTAAGATCTAAAGTCATCTACTCATTCATTTGTTAACAGGAACATTTACCGACCTGCCACTTTGTAACCCAGTGAGGGGCTGGAAGTTCAACCGAAGCAGCAGCTACACAGAGCTTTAGGCGCCGGGACTGTTGAGGTTGCACGCACACAGTGCGAGCGTCTAAGCTAGACCGCTCTGGAGGATGGCATAGAGCAAATTAAACTTTCTGCGAAAAGGAAGAAAAGAGGAGGTAAATGGGAAGGCTTAATGTCTCCTGGGGACGGGGAGGAAGGAGGACAATTCTATTTCACTGCCAGACCACTCTGGCAGGAACAACCCTGCAGAGCAGTGCCATCGCCTAGACAGGTGGCCCTGCTAAGCACCTGGAATATGCGGGACGCGTTCTGTCCTGGGGGTCACAGATTCACTAGTCAGCACTGAAAGCCGTCCTGGCTCTGTGGTCAGCCGCACGGCCCCAGGGGCCCCAGTTCCGGAGTGTCCCTCCCCAGGCACCCAGAACCTCACGGCCACTCACTACGCGCGCAAGATCCGGAAGAGGTAGGCCGGGGCGCGGCGGTGCAGCCTCTCCCAGGGCACCTCAGTCCTGTCCGGGTTCTGACCGGAATTATCCCCAGAGGTAACTAGGCCCTTCCACAGACTGTCTGCGGAAATCGAAACTCTCGGACCTGAGAAAAAGCGGCGCGCGGAGCCCAGCCTCCTTCCACCTCCACCAATCACCGGCGGCGGCCGCGCCCAGCCAATCGGACGCGGCTGTTCCGCCGGCGCCGCCGCCTCCCCAGCAGGCCGCGGCGCGCCCGAGGCCTCCCCGGGCTCCAGGCCAGTGACCGGAATCCACGTCCACTGTACCACGCCGCGGAGTGGAGCTTCTCTTTACGTATTTTACAGAACTAAAAGGAAGTTCTGTGTCTGCAGAAGCCCCACCTTCAGATCCCCTGCGTTAGCCCCATCACTGAGAACTCAGGCAGAGGCAGTTGGGGACGTTGTCATTCCAAAAGCTCAGCTACGCGACTGACCTCCGTGGTGCTAAACCCAGAGGACATTTTCTGTCGTCGCTTTACTTGACCACTCAGAAACGTTCATACGGTTGACGCCTCCATTCTTTTTGTCTTGGTGAGGATGACTCTTCCTTGCTTCTTCCAACCCCGGATTGTTTCTCCCCTGCCCCCACCTCCACCACCAGGCCGGCTGACATCAGGTGTCGTCAGGGTCCGGACCTCGGCCTGCTTCTTTACGCTTCTCCTCATGCTGGGCTGTGACGACCTCGCCCACAGCTTCGATTTTTCTCTAGAGGGAGGACTCCTCGCGGCATAATCTTTCCACACTGCTTCTCAGAGCTTCACACCTGCGTGTACTGCCCCCACATGACTCTCCGCTTGGATGTTTGGGGATCTCTGCAAAATATGCTCAGAAGCAAACCTACCATCTTTCCCCTGAATCCTGCTCTTTTTCTAGGAAAGGTGCATGCCAGATTCCTGGGGGTCATCTGTGACATTGCCTTTTTCCTCACACCTCAGGCCTTGTTGCTTTTTCCTCCTAAATATTTTCCAAGTCTCCTTTCCTTCTCTCCATCTCTTCTCCACCCCACTTTCCCCTCATTTTTGGATTATTGCGGCAGATTCATAATTGACCGCCTCCCTTCAGCTCGTGGGCTTTTAATCCATTCTCCATACATCAGTTTGAGTGAATTTTTAAATTGTAAAGCAGATTGTGTATCATTTGCCAACCTTTTGAAAAAAATCCTATGATGACTTTTCTTTGCTCTTTTTAATAAAAAATTTCTTAATACAGCCTATAAAGTCCCAGTTCCCCTATTGGTTTGCCTAACCCCATCTTATGCCACTCTTTCCTTTGCTTACTTCAGCGTTTTAGTTCTTCAAATAAGCTGAAGTCTTTCCCCCAAACTCAGGGCTGCCTCACCACCAGCCATGTGTTTGGAAAACCCCTGGAGCAAACATTTCTCTCCCCCATCTTCTGGCTAACTCATCTTTCAGGTCTTAGTTTAAAATCTCAGTTTAAACGTCACATTCCCAGGTGGGCATTGCTGAGGCCAGACTAAGTTAGATCTTCTTAGAATATGCCCATAAAACCAATTGGTTCCTTCAAATAGATGGGATTTGAGTCAAGCCGGGAATGGTAAGGCAACTGTATCAGAAAAGGTTCTAAATAATACCCCAGAGATAGGCATATATGTGTGTGATATAGTTTTATTTTTTATTTTTTTCTACATCTATGTGCTCTGCCTTCTTGTCACACATGCACCCTCACAAAGACAGTATTGATGAGCTGGTGATAGCAATGATTCTGGTACCAATGTAGCAATGAAACCAGCCTTCTGTGCAAAGAGATGTCAGGCCACCAGAAAGGGCTCTTAGTCACCTGTACTGAGGACCAAGACTCTTAGAGAAATGCTGACTCTAAGAAGCATAGATATTATAACATGTTAAAAGTATTTTTTTTCTCGTGCTATGAAACTTGCATGGAGAATAGCTTTGATATTGATGAAGGAATTAAATAATCCCAACGTCTACAAATAGGATGATGTGGCACTCCAAATCCTGATTTGTATCATTAAGTTCTCTGGATGCATCTTTCCCTGTGTTTTATCCTCTTGTTTTACCATCACTGACAATAACCTGCTGTAGTCCTTGTCACTTCAGAACTGGAATGCTCTGATGGACTCTAGGTAGACTACCTATTTCTTGTCTCTTTCCCTTCTGTATTTGGCAGATTAAATCCCAAACCCCAGATCAGTACAGCCATTCCCTTCTAGAAAGGCTTAACAACTCTCCTTGCATTTATGGCAAACACAGACTGTCTGCTAGTCTGGATTCTCTACAAAATGTCTCTCCCCTTCTTTCTAACCTTGTCTCCCATTATCCAATTACCCAACTGAAACGTCTAGCACCAGCCCTCTCCTCCCCATGCTGTGCTTCTAATTTCCTGGTTCCTGCCCCTTTGCATATAATAAATGGCAAGTCCTGTGCCTTACTGTCTTTACTTACCAAATTCTCATCTGACTTTTTAAAGCTCAGCCCAAATCTGATATTCTCTTTTTAACCAGTTCAATCTTGTCTCTGAACTAATAAATGTGTCTCTATTTATTTTGGCAATAACTGCACACTCCTTTATATTATGGTTTTTGAAGTGCCCAAAACTTAGCCCTCCAAGATTCTAAGTTCCTAGAGAATAAACTCTATGAATTTAATGTGTTACTATTTAACGTATTAGCTGCTTTAAAAAGCAATCAAACCAATAAAACAAAAACCTAGATATCCAGAAACTGACAGATCCAAATGTGTGCCGGTCACCATCAACAATGTCAAAGTTGCAAGAAATACAAAACTGGAAAAAATAGCTAATACCATGTTTAGTAGATGTATTATTTTCAAGTGTTTTTCTTTCCTTTCTCACCTTTTATCTTGGTTCATTAAGGGTAGAGTAGACTCTCCATATGCTGACTCTGGATAAAGGAATGTGAGCAGTTACAATGTACACACCATCTAATCTGAAACTTAGCATGTTCTTTGCAATCAGCTTGTCCTTGTGTGTTCCTTGCCTGTGCCAGGAAATGGCATGCCCCAGGTAGCCATTGCTAAATCAAAAATTTAAACTATCTTAACAGGCTAGAATCCTGCTGGGCTGAAACTAACTGGACAAAATTTAAAGCAATAAATGCAAAGACTTGCATTGGATTTAAATGAAAAAGGAACAAGTGGCAGGGTACGCTTATGCTATTAATAATCAATTAGAAATAGCAGATAAGATGAAATTTACTATTTGCCATCCCTGAACTGTGTAGTCAAGGAAAGTTAAGAATGAGGAGTCTAGAAAACACATGATATGATGAGTAATTGAAAGCAATAGAGTAACCTACAAATTCACATGATGTTACTGTGGAAAGACCTAAAATCATCCCCACTTTAGAGGGAATTTATTTTTGGTAGAAGAAAAGGAGAGACCCATTCTTTTATCCTTAATCACCCAGTTGCATGTATTTCATTAATCATACCTACCCTGTTGCACAAAGCACTTAAAGGAACATATTGTAGAAACATCTACAATATAAATATAAAGATACAATGCAGCCTACAATCCAAGGCAAAAAAGATACTATTAATCATGTAAGTCTTATTATATGAATAGCAAGGATCTCCTGGTAAATTATTTTCAATAATGGCCACATTATTCCCTTCTCTTTTATCTACAGCCTTCTGCAATTTGACTACAGCTCCTTCTAGCAAATGGTAGAGATTATTTCTCCATTCCTTGAATCTGGGCTGTCTTGTGACTTGTTGCCACCAGTATTATGCAGCAGATATGACATTTTGTCATTTAGAACCTAGGCTTAAGAGGGCTTGTGAACTCCACTCTCAGAACCCAACTCACCCTCCATGAGAAGTCAGGTCAATGCAGTTGTCTAAGTTTAGGCCTCAGATAACGTTGAGAGACCCCAGGCAAGATAAAGTAGGCTTCACCCAAATGGGCTGAAATGCTCAGCCTACCCGAGACTCACAAGCAATACTTGGTGATGGTTTTTACCCCACTGAATTTTGGGAACAGTCTGGCTTTGTTATGTAGCAATAGATCACTGAAATAGATTTATTGGGGGAAGCAAAGCATCCTCCAGCTGAATTCTAAAACAGAATTTTTCAAGTGGAACCTGGCCATTGCTCTTCCCTCACCATGGGTATTTCACCTGCGGTCTCTCAACCACAAGGAGAACTTCATGTGTCTTCACCACAGCCCCATAAAAACACTACATGTTGTTTCTTTCCAGCCTTGATCTGTTTCAAATGGCAGCTACAAATCCGATGACCAGATCTGTAGTAATATAAACTTAGAGGCATTCCCTCTCCTCTTGGCCACCATATTGCATTTTGCCCCATTTTTCTAATGTTGGTAGTAATGGTATAACCTAAATATCTGAAGTAGGAATTTCTAAAAATACCAAAGTCTCCTCAGCCTTTTTCCTTTTCTACTGTAAACCTTGCTACTAAGCGACCCTGAGAATGTCACTTCTTCAGTATAAGCCTCTATTTGCTCATCTGTAAAATAGAATTGAAACGAAGGATTTCTGAAATTCCTTGTGTTTTCTGGATGTGAGCTTTTTGTGTATTTTATTCTCAGTTAATAACTACAGGAGGCCTCCTACATAGCAGCTAATTAAAATACAGGGGTACCTATCAGAGTTTGAACAAAACTGCAATATGGTCATGACAGGATCATGGGAAAGGTATGAATGCTTTTAGGAAAATGACCATAAGCAAGCAAGCTGCGTTCTTTACATAACTAGAAGTGGCACATTGACTAGAATTCTATTGACAAGTATAATGTAGAGAACATAATCCTTTTTTAGAAGTTTTTACTATATTCTTGGACTTACAAATCTACTATAAGGCAATGACCAGAAATGCAAAAATTTATGCACAAGAGTGTTCACTGCAGCTTCATTTATCATAGTGAAAAATAAAAACAA